CCAGAATTTCAACCAAAGACTTTACGTATTGATAGGTCCTATAGTCCGTGCAGACATTGTACAAATATCAAGTTAATTTGAAAATTGAATATCTCGACAAAGTAAAATAGGGTGTGGGTGTGTGGGCCGTAGGGTTCGGGTGAATTGAAGACCTACAACCATACCCACCCTGAAAGCTCGAAACGTCGACTAAATAAAATTTAAGAAAAAATATTTTTCTTGTTGTATAAAAAAATGAATCTCTTAGCTGCTGTTAAAACTATCTTATATACATTTTTATTTCACAATTATTTTATCATTTATTATTAAACAAACAAAACAATATACAAAAAAAATCATGTTAACCAAATTTCCATAACTTCTCCATCATTTTTGACATTGATGAGTTGTTCATGAATAATATTCATGGGAAATGCTTGACGACGTTTTTCAATAATATTCTCATGTGAAAAAGGATCATCGAGTGATGAATCTTCAAAATAATCAATTTTAAGATATGATAGATTTTTCAAGTGACTAATAAATGTATCGATAATAGACACGGAATTGTTGAACGAAATTACTTGAAGTTCAATATATACAAGTGATGGAAAACGTTCAACAAGTTTGGGTGCAAAGCTTGAAGGAAAGTAAACGTCTTCTAATATTGTTTCGATCCGTTTAATTTGTTTGAAAACTGGAATAAGAGATGGACTATCAATAAATTTCGAAGATATTAGTAATGCAGGCAACATTGTAAGATTGATTACGTTTGAACATGCTCTGAGTTAGAAAACAAAACAATTTCGTCATTAGATTCCATTTCAATAGAGATTAAAGGTCGAAATCGAACCGAACCAAACCGAATTGATTGATAATAGTATCGAACAAATCAAGACGAATTACATTTTTTTGATTCAACTATCAATAGCGTTCGAAGTCTTTTGTCGCCTCATCGAGTTTTCTACCACATTTATCTTAAGGATTTATCCCAATCTCTTCAAACACTTATAGTTTTACATTAGTCATTGAAAAAGCTCGGATCCGATGCTGAACAAGGACATTATTTCATATATCGCCAATGAAGGATACTGACTTTTCCACATAATTCAAAGGTCGTAGATATTTTATCTATCTCCTCCTTCTCCATCTAATCAATTTTGCACATATTTAGGGTAATTATCCATAAAGTCTAAGGCAATTGTTAACCTTAGATCTGCATGTAAAAGGTGGTCCATAAGTAGCTTTACGATAAAACAACAATAACATTTCCATTGTGTTACATTCTATGGGACTAATTCTTTTGCGTGATAAAAGACACTTTAGAGTGTTTTTTCTATAAGAATATCATTCAAAAAGATTGCTATGAAGGATAATCATTAGCTTTCATAGTGAATTTTAATCTTTTATGGCATGCGAGGAAGTGCACACAAAGTAGTCAATAAATATCTTTCTGATTCAACTCATTCCTAAACTTTGATATATATATGCGGCCGCTTTATATCGTATATAAGTCTTTTTATCCTTATTTTGTTTATTGTAGGCATGCGAAATTAGAATTCGAAAGATTTTTATTCACCATGCTATATGCACTTTCACGAATGCCATAAAAGATTAAAATTGACTATGGAAGCTAATGATTATCCTTGAAAGCAATCTTTTTGAATGATGTTCTTATCGAAAAAATACTCTAAAGTGTCTTTTATCACGAAAAAAAATTAGTCTTATAGATTGTAACACAATGGAAATATTTTGATTATCTTATTCCAAAACTACTTACGGAGCACTATGCAGATCTTAAAAGAAACATCTATGACACTTTTTAGCAACAAAATAAAACAAATAGCTTTTTGACTTCAGGGTGATATTAGTAAAACTTCTAATATTTTTCGTTCTCATAGAGATTCGAATCTGTTACATATCACATACCAAACTAGCGAGAAGAAACTTGCCTTTAATCCTAATCTTGACCTCCATTATTGAACAAATGAAAACCAGAATTGAGTCGAATGGGTTTAAGAAGCAATCGAACTGAATCTAATTTTTTCTTAGAAACATTAACATGAATCGAATTGGACGAATCTATATCTTTGTCAAACCAAATCGAGCCGAATCACGATTTTTCCGGTTCGTTTCAATCCTTGCGAAAGACAAAACTTCGATAGATTTTTCTAGTATCTTGTAAAAGATTTCATTCAGATTATGAAGAATAAGATATCTCTAGAAAATATAAAGTATACTTACTGCAAAATAAACTGAGCATGTTTACATCAATATTTATTAAACGACGACCCAAATTCTATATGAGTTATCGTGGGTAAATGAACAAAATTTGAAAGATAAGTAACATCTTCTTGTGCATCATCATCACTTATTTGATGAAAATTAACTAAAAGAATTATATTAAAAATAATACGAACAAACTCAGTGATTTGTAAAAAAAGCAAATTATTCTGACTGAATAAAATTAACATAAACACATATTCTTCCTACCAATATCTAGAAGACTATTCAACAATGATGAAGGAATTATTGGCAATTCTAGTCTGAGATATTTGATTTGTTGAAATAAAGGAGAAGAGCAAGTAACAGTTGATCTTTCAGATGTTGTGTATATTCTTAATTCTATTTCATTTAATCAAAAAAAGTTTAACCATAGATTTTTATTAGCTAATCTATTAACAGAAATAATTAATTTAAATATAAATATGTTTATTGTTATAGTATGTTCATATATTTCTCCATCATTAATTAAACTACTAATTATGAGATATTTAAAATTATCGAAATATTAAAATATGATTAGTCTTCGTATAAAAAGTTCGAAGAACTTCGTTTTTTTTTCTTTAATAAAGTTTTAACTCTAAAAGACACTTGAATAATATCAGTTATTTTAAGACTTGAGATGAATGTGCAGTGTTGTACATGGAACATATTTTCGAGATCAAGTCGATGCTGATTCTATATTCGCTGATGAGAGTCTGTCCGACCTGAACCTCGATATTCCGAATAAAATTTTCCTGAAAAAAGTTTATCAATCAGTTTATCATTGGCTTGATGCGTCAAAATATGATTCATTCGGAAAAGTTTTAAATAAATTAATAGTACTTTCTTACACAACTTATTATTGATCTAAGAAATATTGACAAGGGTGCACGTAGTTCTCAAGATGATGTTTTCACAATTTCGTACTCACAATAACTTTTTGATAAATTACTGAAATTTAATAAAAAAATTCTTGTGAGATGGTACTCACGAATAAAGTCTATTGAGTTTTGTCAATCAAAGAGAATCGACCGATTTACAAGAGAAAAATCAAAATGTTAGAATTAACTTGATGCCTGTGTGAAACTGACATATTCACACCTTAGCTATACTAGATATTGCTAATTCGATAAAAAAAAATTCAACTGCAGCAACTGACAATTTTAAAATTTCACATGCTGTAGATTCATAATGAAAAAGAAAGTTCAACGATAAATAATGTGGATTGAAGTTTATTAAGTTTGTCGGTTTGACTATACACAAACATGTACTATGTTTTATTTTCTTTGTACTAAAATAAATATTAAGATAAGGTTCTAGGCACCAAAATATCGATCCTGTCTCAGGAGAATTAAGGTGATCATAATAAAGAGACAGCAGAATATTCAAGCTACTTCAATAGCTTCTTTCGTGTTATTTAATTTCTTTTCTATATGCTACGGCAACCACAGATATTTAAAAGAATTACTAAGTAATTCATAATACCATAAATTAGGATGTAATAAAGTGGAATACTGTATGAATCTCAAGTGTTTGAATTTTATTTATTTCATCATGTATAACTATATTGAAAGAATTTACAATAAGAGAAGGGTGTGGATGTACGTTGATAGACCACCCACACCCTCCTAATTCTCTTAATCGAACTTAAAATGCACGAAAGATATTTTGCTTTTCGAAGAAAAAGAAAGTTTTTAAACTACGGAAAAGTTGCGCCGTTTTGTTCATGTTGATTCCAAATATCATAGTAGGTTTTACTCGAATAGGACTTACTAAAATTTCCTGAACATGAACCAAAAAGGAAAACAATCTGGTTTCTTGAGTATTTTATATGACCTGTTTTTTTTTAAATTTAAGTAAAACAGACAGTTTTGTAACTCTCAAAAAAATACTGTCAAATGAATTATACTAGAAGAATTGTTAGTTCTCTATTAAACAGAAAGATGTCTCAAAAGGTACAACAATATTACGAAGTCATCATATAGCAGCTAGGTGTACTGATGTAGCTGTGATGATAATTTAGCCAGATCTTTCCATGAAAGCTCTAAGAATTTCAGGAATTTAGAAAAGTGTAGAGTATTTTCTAGTTAAAACTTTTCCAAGATGCTTTTGCACTTTCTAGAATTGTAAGAAAATTTTGAAAGTTGTTTTAGATGATTCGGCTGATCTAGCATTGTCTTGGTATTTTGTAGGCGATTCTAAATATTCATATACGACATGTAGCATACAACTGATAAGCACAAGGGAGATATGTGGTTTAGCATAGAGGTATAGAGGAAAAAAACAAAATATGTCACTTTGATGAATAAACAAAAAAATGAATTTTTAAAATTGTTGATCCGTGACGGTCAGTTTTTGCCAAATGATAACATAGAGAATGGGTGTGAATGTAGATAAGGGTGTTGATGCGGGTGTAAATGAAAGAATACTCACACCCACACCCGCAGCGTTTTTCAACCTTTTCAAAGAAAAAATACCAAAGTGAGACTATCATCAAAGAAATTCAACTGAATAACTATCTTATTCGAAAATAATATAATGTAATAAATAGATTGTTGGCATAAACAAAACAAAAAATATTTTTCTACGAAGTTTTGTCTATATAGTCATATCGATGAAACCGTTGATTTTCTTGAATAAAATCATTCAAAGACTAATATATTAATTTTTTTAATATTCTCTTTTATTACTATTAGTTGAATCTAT